GTATGATCTCTTAACTCTGTTGTCCTCGTTCTTTAGTGAGCCGCGGAGCACGACCCGTGTAAGGGATGGTTGACCGCGCGTTGTGTCTGCAGGTGGAGGACACTACCCAGTCCGCCCGCCCGCCCGCTAGACGGAGGCAGCAGCGCCCGAGTGTCGGGGACAGGTCAGGTGTCGGGTCATGACTGCTGCGTGTGAAATTATATTTCGGTGTTCTAGTTTTAAAATTAAATATACGAAGTTATGATGTAGGTAATCTCGAGATGATTTCAGGGCTTTAGTGTCCCCGCGGCCCGGTCCTCGACCAAGCCTCCACCCCCAGGATGCAGCCCGTGACAGCTGACTAACACCCAGGTACCTATTTTACTGCTAGGTAACAGGGGCATAGGGTGAAAGAAACTCTGCCCATTGTTTCTCGCCGGCGCCTGGGATCGAACCCAGGACCACAGGATCACAAGTCCAGCGTGCTGTCCGCTCGGCCGACCGGCTCCCACAAATACTAGGTGCAGTATTATGCATATTATGTGGTATAATTTTGGTGACAGTGGCACTGGTGGTGTTGTGTGTAAGCCGGTGACGTTTTTAATGATGCAACTGGAACTGGGTTCAAATTATCGTTTGTGTTCCCGGGTGAAGTGCCTAGTTTTGAACTTTATTTATAGACTTTAATCGAGAATTGTTAGAAGATTTAAGAAATTTCACTTACGGCTCGTATAATGTACCGATAAGTTATATTAAAAACGACACAATGCAATTAAATCAAATAAATCGAATCCAAAATTGCAAATTTGTTTCAAATTATCATAGTAATTGGAGCTAATAGTCTTCCAGCTGCTATGCCTTTCTTTGATAATTACTTCAAAGTAATTGATTCGAGACACTTAAAAATTGATGGAGGATGTGGAGGACATTTGCGTCAACATGGCCAAGTTAAGCGGGTTTGTTCTTAAGGAACAGCTTACGCGTCTTCCACAGTGGGAAGTACTAAGGTGAAGATTAGGACGAACCTAACTAGTCTAGACGTAGATTTTAGACTAACGAATGAACAAATTACGTTTGACTAATGAAAACTACTTTTTAGTAACATCACTCAGAAGGGTCCGGGCCTATGTCTTGTGTGTTCTTATTATAGTTTAATAATAGAATGGTAAGGTATTAAGGAAGTCAAAACCGGTATGTTAGTACAGGTCGGGCAGGAAGGGTAGCCGTCAGAAGGGCTGGAGCCCCGCTAACTGGTAGTGAGGAGTCAGGCGAAGCACCACTAACCTCCAACGTCTTTAGCCCAACCTCTTAAGGGGGTCATGCAGGTCGGCGTTCAATCCCCGACCGTCCAACTGGTTAGGCACCATTCCTTCCCCCCCTGTCGCATCCCAAATCCTTATCCTGACCCTTTCCCAGTGTTATATAGTCATAATGGCTTGGCACTTTCTCCTGATAGTTCGTACCAACGTCTCTAGCACTACTCTCTCACCACTACACCCCTCGCTACCTTCATGGGCGGTTGTTAGGTTGCATTCGGCTAAATTGATATTGAGTAGATTATAGTGTGTGCAGCCGGGAACCTGCAGACTGTAGACTATAGTGTGTGTGCAGCCGGGAACCTGCAGACTGTAGACTATAGTGTGTGTGCAGCCGGGAACCTGCAGACTGTAGACTATAGTGTGTGTGCAGCCGGGAACCTGCAGACTGTAGACTATAGTGTGTGTGCAGCCGGGAACCTGCAGACTGTAGACTATAGTGTGTGTGCAGCCGGGAACCTGCAGACTGTAGACTATAGTGTGTGTGCAGCCGGGAACCTGCAGACTGTAGACTATAGTGTGTGTGCAGCCGGGAACCTGCAGACTGTAGACTATAGTGTGTGTGCAGCCGGGAACCTGCAGACTGTAGACTATAGTGTGTGTGCAGCCGGGAACCTGCAGACTGTAGACTATAGTGTGTGTGCAGCCGGGAACCTGCAGACTGTAGACTATAGTGTGTGTGCAGCCGGGAACCTGCAGACTGTAGACTATAGTGTGTGTGCAGCCGGGAACCTGCAGACTGTAGACTATAGTGTGTGTGCAGCCGGGAACCTGCAGACTGTAGACTATAGTGTGTGTGCAGCCGGGAACCTGCAGACTGTAGACTATAGTGTGTGTGCAGCCGGGAACCTGCAGACTGTAGACTATAGTGTGTGTGCAGCCGGGAACCTGCAGACTGAGGTATTATGAGACCACTTGACTTGCTCTCTAACACACATTGCCTGACAACGGACGTGATTTTCTTTATTTTGTTGAAACACTCACGTTGTTTTTGTATGACAACGGAGGTGCGTAGATTTTCTTTGCAAAACAACGGGGAGGTGTAACAACGGAAGTGCACGGATTCTTTTCTCATGCTCACAAACATCTACGTTTTCTGTAGGTTGGTTTGGTTAGGTTAGGTGGGTGGGTTGGGTCAGCTTGTTTTTGTACCTTGTAATTTGTTGGTTGTGTAAGCTCGAGGGAAGGGGGTGGCCGGCCAAGCAGGGCAGGAATACCTGTTGTTCAGCTGGATATTACTGAACCAGTTGACCGTTCACCTCCACCTTATTGTAAGTGTAAATGTGAGGTGGACTGTTGTCGTCCCAGAGTACAGGTGCCAACTGTGGACCACTGGAGGGCTTGTCCACTTGTTGGGTGGCCCTTCAACACTTGAAGGGGCCACCCGGCACCACTAGAAAGGGGCCACCCCGGCACCACTAGAAGGGGGCCACCCCGGCACCACTAGAAGGGGGCCACCCCGGCACCACTAGAAGGGGGCCACCCCGGCACCACTAGAAGGGGGCCACCCCGGCACCACTAGAAGGGGGCCACCCCGGCACCACTAGAAGGGGGCCACCCCGGCACCACTAGAAGGGGGCCACCCCGGCACCACTAGAAGGGGGCCACCCCGGCACCACTAGAAGGGGGCCACCCCGGCACCACTAGAAGGGGGCCACCCCGGCACCACTAGAAGGGGGCCACCCCGGCACCACTAGAAGGGGGCCACCCCGGCACCACTAGAAGGGGGCCACCCCGGCACCACTAGAAGGGGGCCACCCCGGCACCACTAGAAGGGGGCCACCCCGGCACCACTAGAAGGGGGCCACCCCGGCACCACTAGAAGGGGGCCACCCCGGCACCACTAGAAGGGGGCCACCCCGGCACCACTAGAAGGGGGCCATCCCGGCACCACTAGAAGGGGGCCACCCCGGCACCACTTGAAGGGGGCCACCCCGGCACCACTAGAAGGGGGCCACCCCGGCACCACTAGAAGGGGGCCACCCCGGCACCACTTGAACAACTTACTCTGTAATTACTTACAAAATACTCTGGACAACTTCACTATTCTCCCCGACTCTTCCAACCTTCCGAGACTTACGTATGAAGGGGTGTTCCTAATGGAAATAGTCGTATTGAACCAACGGTAGTTGTCCTTACCTTAACAATCCTTAATGTATTTTACCTCTCCTTTTAGACCTTATATATATGCTGTCCTGTCGCACCCTTGCCTGATTAATGCTATTCCTATCTTCCTATTCCACCATCACCGCCCATCCCGGGCCCCCCCGGGTGGCCGCCCTCCCATTCCGGGCCGAAATTATGGATTTTTTTTATTATAAAATGCTAAATTGTATGGAAGGTGGGCAGGGGAGTCATGAGCCACGGTGTTGAACATGTTGGAGGGTTGGTCTCCACCTGTCCCTCCATCCCCCACTCTCCACACCACATAGTTCCAATCTGTTCCGTCCCGTTGTTTGCCAGTCCAATTTGTATTTTTTTCCTCTGCAAATTTAGTGTAGCAGTGTGATACCGTCAAGGGAGCCGTGTGAGCATCCTCTAGACGGTGTGTAATGTGCCCGCCTCGCCGCCTCCTCCCATCCCTCTTGTTATTTAATTCTCCCTCCATCTCCCAGCTCGCTCTGGACCTCCTTTACAGTCTTTAGGCTTTTGTTTTGGCTACCAAGTCCCTTGTCCGTGTCCCTCTAGTTGTCTGTACCCTCAACACCACTCTGCTCCTCAGCTCCCAACATCACACTTGTCTGCCTGTCTTCTTGTCTGCCTGTCTTCTTGTCTGCCTGTCTTCTTGTCTGCCTGTCTTCTTGTCTGCCTGTCTTCTTGTCTGCCTGTCTTCTTGTCTGCCTGTCTTCTTGTCTGCCTGTCTTCTTGTCTGCCTGTCTTCTTGTCTGCCTGTCTTCTTGTCTGCCTGTCTTCTTGTCTGCCTGTCTTCTTGTCTGCCTGTCTTCTTGTCTGCCTGTCTTCTTGTCTGCCTGTCTTCTTGTCTGCCTGTCTTCTTGTCTGCCTGTCTGCCTGTCTGCCTGTCTGCCTGTCTTCTTGTCTGCCTGTCTTCTTGTCTGCCTGTCTCGAGCCTCTGTCTACCACTGTCTACCCCACTCCTGTCTGTCCTCGTATCCTCTACCCGTCCTCTTAACCCCCCCCTCCCCCGGACCTGTTGACTACCTACCTGTTGGAGAGTAAGAGGATCAATGTCCCAGCGGCCTGTAGGTCTCTGACCTCTGGTGTTGGAGTGATCAACCAGGCTCCCTCTTCCTCTCCCTCCCTCCCTCCCTCTTGTTTACCCACTCCTTTGTGCCCGACCTCTGCACCCCCTCCCCCTCTGCACCCCCTCCCCCTCTGCAACCCCTCCCCCTCTGCAACCCCTCCCCCTCTGCAACCCCCTCCCCCTCTGCAACCCCTCCCCCTCTGCAACCCCTCCCCCTCTGCACAACCTTCCAACATCACCGATGCACGTCTCGTTTGTTATTCCTCTTTAATTCCCCTCCCCCAGTCATCTCCCCCTCTCCGTCGGTCATCTCCCCTCTCCGTGTCCCCCAATCAGCTCCCCTCCCCTCTGAAGACATCGTTGCCAGCTCCTGGGACACCCAGGTACTGGGACACCCGCGTGCTGGGACACCCGGATGCTGGGATAGCTTCCTTCCTTCCTTCCTGGGAAGGCAGTGTGGGAGGCAGTGTGGGAGGCATAGCGTGGGAGGCATAGCGTGGGAG